ATTTATCATTTTCACACTATATACATATTAATAAACAGTCCATATAACAATTTTCAATAGTAAAAAATATTTGCAACTCTTAAAATTTAGCACCTTATTTTTTTACAATACATGTTCTCGTAAAAGAAAATTCAATGTTCTAGTACACTTTTTGTAAAACATTAGCTTAGAGTAGATTTTATTATTTTCCAATATGATTTACGAATAACAAAAACACGTTAGATACGCCATAATAAACCCTATAAACCACATTGAATCTTCAAAATTTAATTTAGACTATCATTTGATCAGTTTGACTCATCGCATCGTCATACTCGTCGCACCGTCAAACTAGTCAAACTCGTCACACCCTCACAAGTTTCGCGAATTTATCATTTTCACACTATAAAAATATTGGTAAACAGTCCATATAACAATTTTCACAAGTAAAAAATATTCGCAACTCTCTAAATTCAACACCTTATTTTTTTTTACAATGCATGTTCTCCTAAAAGAAACCCCAAAGTTCTAGTACACTTTTTGTAATACATTAGGTTATGGTAGATTATATTATTTTCCGATATGATTTACGAATAACAAAAACACGTTAGATACGCCATAATAAGCCCTATATACCCATTACAAAAAATAGACCATTAGCAACGAAATTAACAACGAAATGCATTTCGTTGTAAAGTTAGCAACGAAATTGCAACGTTTTTTTAACGAAAACGATTTTGCAATGCTTTAGCAATAAAAAATTTCGTTGCAAATTTGCAACGTAATTTTTTGTTGCAAAGCATTGCAAAAATCGTTGCAAAATTTTTTTATTACAATTAGCAACGCTTTGAAACGTCATGATTTCGTTGCTAATTTGCAACGAAATCCTTCGTTGCAAAGCGTTGCAAAATCGTTGATAAATCGTTGTAATTTTTTTTTGCAATTAGCAAAGCTTTGCAACGCAATAATTTCGTTGCTAATTTGCAACGTAATATTTGCGTTGCAAAGCATTGCAAAATCGTTGCAAAATTATTTCTTTAAAATAAACAACGATTAGCAACGGATTTTCTTTTGCAACGCAATAATTTCGTTGTAAAATTATTATTTAATAATTAATATGATTTGACCGTAAAAAAAATAAATATAAATTTGCAACGAAATTGCGTTGCAAATCCAATTAGCAACGAAATCGCGTTGCAAGTTTAAAATATATTTGTGGCTACGATGAATTACGGTTTTCACGCCTTTTGCAATGCAATTGCGTTGCAAGTTTGCAACGAAATTGCGTTGCAAACGTTTTGTATATATTGACGCGAATTTCTTTTATAAACACTTCCAAACACAATCTAACAATCACTTCTCTCTCTAAAAATCCTCTAAAATCTCTCTTTATCCCAAATCTTAAAAATACTTTTAAAATTATATTAATATTTATTTTATTTTTAATTTTATATTTATAATAATTAATATTATTTTTTAAATATTTATTCTTATAAATTTAATTCACAATTCATTAAAAAATCTAAAAATCCTACAAATCTATATTTTTATTATCTTTATTTAATATTTATATTTATTTATTTATTACTTTTTATAATTATTTATTTATAATTTTTAAAATTCATAATTTTAATAGTTTTTTAATTTTTATATTATTTTTAGCAACGAAATTATGTAGCAAAAATAACAACGAAATTGCGATGCTAAATTAGCAAGAATTTTTTCCATTACAAAAACGTTGCAAATATTAGCAACGCTTTGCAACGAAAATATTGCGTTGCAATTAACAACGAAAATATTTCGTTGCAAAGCGTTACAATTTGCAACTCTACATTATTTTGCAACGATGAGTTTGCAACGAAAATAATTTCGTTGCAAACTGTAATTTGCAACGAAATTTGACTGTTTGCAACGAAAAAATTGCGTTGCTAAATCCCTGTTTTTTAGTGACCACGTTGAATCTTTAAAATTTAATTCACACTATCATTTGACCAGTTTGACTCGTCGCATCGTCATACTCGTCGCACCGTCAAACTAATCAAACTCGTCGCACCCTCACGAATTTCGTGAATTTATCATTTTCACACTATATACATATTAATAAATAGTCCATATACCAATTTTCATTAGTAAAAAATATTCGCAACTCTTTAAATTTAGCACCTTATTTTTTTTACAATGCATGTTCTCTAAAAAGAAAATTCAATATTGTAATACACTTTTTGTAACACATTAGCTTAGGGTAGATTATATTATTTTCTAATATGATTTACGAATAACAAAAACACGTTAGATACGCCATAATAAATCCTATATACCATGTTGAACCTTCAAAATTTAATTTAGACCATTATTTGACCGTTTGACTCGTTGCACCGTCAAACTCGTCGCATCGTTAAATTAGTCAAACTCATCACACCCTCACGAATTTCGCGAATTTATCATTTCCGCACTATATACATGTTAATAAACAGTCCATATAACAATTTTCATTAGTAAAAAATATTCGCAACTCTCTATATTTAGCACCTTATTTTTTTTACAATGTATGTTGTCCCAAAAGAAACTTCAATGTTCTAGTACACTTTTTGTAACACATTAGTTTAGGGTAGATTATATTATTTTCTAATATGATTTACGAATAACAAAAACACGTTAGATACGCCATAATAAGTCCTATATACCATGTTGAACCTTCAAAATTTAATTTAGACCATTATTTGACCCGTTTGACTCGTTGCACCGTCAAACTCGTCGCATCGTCAAATTAGTCAAACTCATCACACCCTCACGAATTTCGCGAATTTATCATTTCCGCACTATATACATGTTAATAAACAGTCCATATAACAATTTTCATTAGTAAAAAATATTCGCAACTCTCTATATTTAGCACCTTATTTTTTTTACAATGCATGTTGTCCCAAAAGAAACTTCAATGTTCTAGTACACTTTTTGTAACACATTAGATTAGGGTAGATTATATTATTTTCTAATATGATTTATGAATAACAAAAACACGTTAGATACGCTATAATAAGCCATATATACCACGTTGAACCTTCAAAATTTAATTTAGACCATAATTTGATCCATTTGACTCGTCGCACCGTCAAACTCGTCGCATCATCAAACTAGTCAAACTCGTCACACCATCACGAGTTTTATGAATGTATCATTTCCGCACTCTGAACATGTTAATATTATCAGTTTGACTGTGTGAATCATAGTAATGTTGATTTAACTCATTTATGTCTATATAATACGATATGTTACTCATATATGTTCCATTTTATTCATTTATATTATATGGATCAAATTTAAAGATAAAAACGTAGTAAACCCTAAATGTCCAAAATAGATATCATATCTTGGAAGAAAAATTTGTCTATTATCAAAATTTTTGTTTAATAGATGAAAATTTTGGAGATTTAACTTATTTTTTATAATTAATTTACCAAGAAATCATATGGAAGAGAGAAGATTCAAAGAGAAAG